GGTTACAGGAAATGGATGGATCATTTTCATGGCAGTCTGTTTGTAAGTTGGATTTTCGTAACCCAATGACTTACTGTAATGTCATTTAATTACTATAAAAATACTTTTTCAGCTAAGGTTAATCTGTTTGCCTGTATGAGTGATTTTTTTATATTGTCAAATGTTCTCAAACAGTTGAATATGTTGTTCAAAGGTACAGCATCATGTCCTTTTATAACCATGGGCTCGGCAGTTGAACCCACACTCTCACTGGCGCCAGTAAAAGTCTGTTGAGAAAGTACGCAATTTCCGCTGTGGTTTTTGTGGCCCATTTGCAAATCTTACCCAGTCCTTCCTGCCTACCCCGGTGTGGGCCTGCGGGGTGGGGGGGTTCCTGCTTGTTAACACTCACACACCATAAGAAGCGCACATGTGGCTGATTTAGCTCTTAGCTTCACACAGCCGGGCAAAATCACACTGAAGGCTTTGCCTGAGGCCTGAGTAGATCCCGCCTAGAGCCTGACCCTATGCCCCTCTGGCGCTGGGCCAGCCACATCTCTGCACCACCTCTTTGGTAAAGGTGTGACCCAAATGGCTGAAACAGATGCCTGGTAGGTGACAGGAAATGAGAAACCACTGAAGCCTGTGCTTTTTTTCTGTTTTATATTTTTAATTTCCATTTGAGTTGAATTGTGTTTGAGCACCGGCCCGGTACTTGCTGATCTGTGTCGCTCACATGCACACGTACTGTCTCTGCACACAGAACCTGAGATGCTGATATCCGAGGAAACAGTCAACATTTGCAGACTGTTAAAACGATGTCTTTGACTAATAAGGCCAGTTCCCTGAGCACACTCCACGGTAAGTAGGTCCCTTATACGACTGAAGTGGGTTTTTTTTCCCAACATAATGGGTTTGTATTTAGTTACTTTAATCCACACAGTGCCTGTTGCTAACCACACAAAATGAGCAAACGTAAGGCAGAAAGATTATCTGGGGAGGTAGGAGAGTTTTAACACCGTGCCGCACCTAGCGCCAAACAGACTGGTTCCGTTAAGGATCCGGCGAGATTCCTGAATGAAATTCGGTTACACCTGTTACCCCCCGGGGGGCTGAGGGCGGGGTCCTCGAGTGGCTCGGTTACTACGCCAAGCGATCGCTGACTTGGAGGCCATGAGGTAAAGCGCTGTGATGGTCAAGGGAAATAGGCGAGTTTGTTTTGGTTCGAAAAAAGTCAAAGACAGGGGAAGAAAACAAGTGCTCACAATAAGGGCACCTCCCCAGCGCCTGATCGACGCTGCTAATGGAGGAATGTTGTAAGGGGACTGGCAGGCCTCTGCTCCTGCAGGAAACCACGGCTAATGGGAACCAGACCTGTAGGTGGTACAGGGGAATTAGACGGGGAGAACTCAAATTCATTTCAGTGAGTGCCTTTGGCTGTAACCCCAATCAGGATAAGCAGCTGATTAGATGGATGGATGGATGGATGGATGG